TAGAAAGCCTGGTTTTGCTCCTAGAGATTTCAGAGTGGGATTTCACCAACAAAGCAGGAAATAAGTTTCCTCTTCTCTCACATCCTAGACCTATCCATGTCCCCAGCCAAGTCCCAGTCAATACAAGCTTCCTGGGTATAAAACACTCTGCCTGGCTTTTTCGGTTTTTTTTTGTTCCCAACAGCCTTGCCACTTCAATCCCTTAATTGTCAAGATCTGAATTTTTGCAGGATACACAGTTATTTTAATCTGTTAAGTGGCTCTGCTGCTATAAAACTGACAGGAATTTAATATCTGGAGACTGTCAGCTGAGCTCCAGGTGCTGAGGCTTTCTAGATGGCGATGATGCAGAAAGAAGCACAGGCTGGTGCAAGGCACACAAGCACAAAGCTGGCAACAGTTCCTTTGCACTGAGGTCTGACCCTGCAGGGTGCTGAGCAGTGGGGCAGGCAGTGAGGCTGCTGGGCTCCTCCACATCTCCCAGGAGCCATTCCCCAGCTGCATTTGAGCACACTCAGAAAGGAGATGTTGCATTGCAAACACCAGTACAAGTCAAGTAGAACAGGTCATTCTTTTTAATAAAGGAAACTTTCCCTCTGTAGCTTTTCTCCTGCAGTCAAGCCCGTCACAGACCTGCTTTCCCCTCCAGAGGCTGTCAGCTGTGCTTCAGCCATTCATCAGAGGGAGCAAGCTAGCATGCAGGAAGGAATGAAGGGAAATAAAATCCCAAACCAAACAAAAACTACATTTTTTTTAGTCCTGCCTCTCCTGCACACATTGCTGGCCCTGAGTGTGGGAGCCCAGACCCCCGAAAACCCCTCCCTGCTGCAGGGCTCTGCCACACAGCCACTGTGGTCTGATACAGGTGCAGAAAAAGAGATGAGCAAGGGTTTATCACCCACCTACTCATCTCCTGCTCCCTCAAAGCATCCCCAGCCACAGCCTGGCACAGGACACAGGAGCCAGCACACCAGCAAAGCATTGCTGCAGAGCCAGCTACAAGTACTCCTCACAATTAATTTGGGATTTTGCTTGTAATTAATCCCGCGTATCAGTTCCCCTCATTATTCCTAATGTAATTAAGTTATTAGTTTATATGTCCCCCCCCCAAAAGCAGAGCAGGGGGATGGATCAGAGGGAGGCAGGGGAGATGCCAGGCAGCAGCACGGGGCCATGAGCCCGGGATTACTGGAGCTCATGCCAAGCCCCACCACTGCCTCCCTGGGTGACTTCAGGTGGGTCACTGGCAGCCTGATTTTCCAAGAGGACAAAATTATTCCAATTCCTCTGGAGTCCACCAGAGACAGAAGGATACAAAGTTCAATTAGCCTCTCTGGGTCCTGGTTTATCCAGCTGGAAAACTGCCGGGACAAGGAGACAGGCTGGAACTAATTAAAGCTTGCAAAGTGCTTGGAAACCCTCCGCCAAAAGGCAGGGAAGGAGGGAGGCCCAACGAGTCCCAGCTGATCCATGACCCCGGGCAGCCCCGTGTCCTCACACCCCCATCCATCAGGCTGGGCTTCCCTGCAGGCTGAGCCCATGGCTGGGCTGGCTAAAGCTCCCTGGCAGGGGCAGGCACCCTGCCACAGAGCTCCTCTTCCCAGCCAAGTCACAGGACTGCACAAAGGGCACCAAAAGGGCAAGTATTCTAACAGGGCTTGATCTGTCCCCTGAAAAAGAGAGAAAATACAACCCCCAAACCCCGAGCAACAGCAGGAAAAACAGCACTGGAGGGACTGGTGAACTTATCCCAGGAACAACTTCATGGTCCTAAACACGGCCAGTTTTGTTCTTCCATACCCTACCAGCCCTGCAAGGCTGCTACACCTCACGGCCAGGAGGGAGTCCCACACCCTAAAATCCAGCCTCAACCTGCTGCTGCTGCCCTGGCATGTACCACCAGCAGCTGCAGGCAGCAGGGAGGAGGAGGAGGAGGGAAAGGAGGTGGCAGGGATTGAGGGAAGCAAGAAGGGGGGGGTCCTCTGCCTGCCTACCTGCCACTGGGCAGCAGCAAGAGATCCACAGAGATGGATTGCAGGGGAATACAAGAGAAAAAACTACAGGGCAAAGTGAAGCCAAGTTAATTACAACAGACTGCTGCACCCACCTCGTTGGGCATGAGCAGCTCAGGAAAGCTCAGCTACTGCTGCAAGAACCTTCCCTGAACGCCTGCCTTCACCATGTTATAGGTAAAAGTTAAGACCCTTTTCCTAGAACATTCTAATAAGGCCCCCCCCCTTAACATAATACAATTAATATAACATAATTAATATAACATAATTAATACAATATAATTGAACTATACCCTAATTTAACTTAACTCTTACCTATAACAACTAGGCCCTTAAGATGCCAAGCCAGCAGCATGTTTTGGGCAAAGGAAGGACTCAAATACTGCATTGCACCCCTCACACCAAGGTCCTGCCCCTTGGAGACCCTGCCCACCACAGGACTGGAAGAAAAACATCACAAGCTTTCCTTTGGGAAGCTGAAGCCTGGACCTGGCTCAGGATTTGGGGTAAAGCAGAAGGCAGGGTGCAGACTAAAATAACAGTGATTGATGGGCATCCATGGAGCCAAGGGCAGCAGCTCTGTGAGCTCTCAGCAGGCCACCAAAGTGCCACAGCCAGCCAGGGAGCTCGGGCACATGGATGTGTGCTGGGAGCCCTGGTGGGGACAGGCACTGGCAGGAGGCAGCAATACCAGCTGGAGTTTAACTGGAAAGGTCTAAAGGTTAAACCTACACAAGGCATGATACACGGTGTGCCCATATCCACAGAAGGGGGGAGGGAACAGCTTGGAAAATGCTGCCCGGAAAGTTTATGTGGATTTGCTCCATTTCCCCTCTGTAGCTGTCCTACAATGTTTGAGAGGCTGTTAGCAATCCATCACCTCCTCTGGTTTCCCGAGGAATTTGGGAGGACGACCCTTAACTGCTCAAGTTTTCATCAGTAGCAGCCAGTCCCACCGGCCAGGGCAACAGGACACAGCACCAGGCTCCTCTCTGGATCACAGCATTCCTGCCTCTGGTAGCCCAGTCAGCTCTGCAGCCGTTCAGAAATGTTAACTGAAGGGACACCACATCCCCATGCTCATAAGCAGCTTATAAGTCATACTGCTCCAAAGGAGTTTGCAAAGCCAAAAAATTCAATGCATTAAAAAACTAAAAAAAAACAATCTGCACTTCATGAATCTCAAGGGGATGAAACTGTCTGGATGGAAAATTCAGAAGAAATGAAGGAGAGGCAATTTAAGCAGTCAAATTGCTGGAGTTACAGCAACTTGGCAGTGGCAGCTTCAAAATGTGGGGACAGATCCTGTGTGGCAGAAGTTCCCTTCACCTGCTGCGGGAGCCAAGACCAGCCGGTACCAGCATCAGCAACCTACACCCCGAGCTGGGGGAGCCTTGAATGGGAGCAGAAAGTCAAAATGGGCTGCAAAATGGCAGCGATTCAGCGGCAGCTGGTGCTAAGCGAGAAGCAAGGTTCATTTCAAGGAGATTATAGTTGCCCCTGTCAAACAGGGGAGGTCTTTTTTTTGCCATCTTTACGAATACAGTTCCAACACCAAAGCACAGTTCTGGTTAAGAAAGCCCTCATCTCCTAACTCTGCTTTCAGTGACTTATTTATTGCCTTCCCCAGCTTAAATAAATAAATAAGTGTATAGATAATTATGTCTTTTTGGGGCCTGAAGTCACATAGATTCATTCCCTTCTTCTAGGATTGAAAGATTTACAAAAGCCTGAAGAAACCTCTTCAATCATTTTTATTTAAAAAAACATGGAAAACCAATAATTCCTCAGGATGAAAAAAATCAAAGTAAGCTTTATGAGTTCTTTTTTTTTTTCCAATCAGGTTGTTAATTCAGTTGCTGAGGTGACAGACACATATTTGAGACTCTCCAAAGATGTAGCAAACACATAAAGCTGTCATATATTGTGGGCCAAACACTGCTGGGTGTCACTGGTGCAAAAAAAAGGGGGTGAGAGCTCACACCCTTCCACTGCCACAATAACCCCAATCTCGGTGTATTTTCAGGAACTGGGCTCTAACCCGGATTAATTAATTCAAGATTTACAACAGTACAACTAAGCAGCATCTAATCTACGTCCTTTGGAAAGTTAACCCTCAGCTAAGCCCCAGCCGCTCTCGGCGAGGAGGAGAGGACACGGGAGCCGGAGAGGACCCGGGACCTCGTTCAGCCGAAGCTGCTCGCAGCTCCCCTGCCCTTCGTTTGGGCAGCGAAACTCCTCCGATTCCCTCCCTGTGCGCAGGGAGATGCTCCTCGCGTCTCTGCCGCGCTGTCACTCCGGGGACTCAGGCACGACACGGAAAGGCGCGACTGAATGCACGGGCACCCTCGTCCCAGCCCGGCCGGGGCTCCCAGGGCAGCGGCGCTGCCCGATCCTGCTCTCCCACCACAGCCAGCAGCGAAAGCGGGGCCCCCGCTTTAACCGGGCTCGCCCAGCCCGCGTACGCCAAACACGGAACACGCAAGTGTGCTTCCCTCCGGTCCTGTCAGCCCGGGCAGGACCGAGCCCTTCTCCTTTAGGGCAGAGCCCGGGAGCACGGCGTGACCCAGGGGGAAAGGAGCCGCCGGTCCCCCACCCGTGACACGAACCACGCGTTTGGTTCCCTTGGGGAGCACCGCTCTCCCCGCTCCCCGGAGCCTGGGATGCTCCAAGTTGGCGGCGGGACAAAGGGCCGGTACCGCCGGCAGCACCCGCGGCCGGGGCACTCCCGGTGAAGCGGGGCCGGGGGGCGGCTGGGGCTGCCGCTGTCCGAGACCGAGCGGAGGGAGGGGAGGAGGAAAACCAAGCCCGGGGGGTACGGAAAGGGCCCCAGTGCCCCCCTCAAAGGCACAGGTCCTGTACCAAACTTGAAGGGGAACGCGATGGGGTGGGGGTCCCGAAAACCGCCGGGAACTTCTTCCCCGGGCGGCGGCGGCATCGCGCCCAAGTCCCGCCGGAGCAGCCGCGGCCCCGCCGCCCCTTCCTCACCTCCGGCGTGTGTCCCTCGGGCTCCGGCACCTCCAACTTCCTCCGCGCCCCGAAGAAGAAGAGGAGGAGGGCGGCGAGCCAGAGCACCCCCAGCAGAGACAGCGCCAGCCGCCGCGTCGGCCGCCTCATCCTCGGCAGGAGCGAAAAGTCCGGCGGGGGCAGCGGGAGGCGCTGAGGGGGAGCCGCGGGCGGCTCGGGGGCAGCGGGGCTGGCGGGGAGCACGGTCTCGCCCGCCCGCCTGCCCGCCTCGGAGCCGGCGATGCGAGTCCCGGGCTGTGCATGCTCTGCAGGGGAGGGGAGGGGAGGAGGAACGGGAGGAGGAGGCGCCGGGAGGAGGGGGGCTGGAGCCGGAGCCGCTCGCCGGGAAAGGTGCAGCGCGCAGGCAGCCGGGCTGGTCCCCGGGGAACTGCTGCTCTGCTCGCTCCGCGCCGGCGGGGAGGCAGCCCTGGGGACGGGGACAGCGAGGGGTTCCGGGGTGCCCGTGTGTAACCGGGGACGCCCATCGCTCTGCCCTGCCTCCCTGAGTGAGCCCGGGCCGCTTGCACGCCAAGGGATGCCGGGGCTGGGCAGCGCCGCTGCGAGTTTGGCCCGGGTCGGTCCCGGTCCCCGTCCGACTCCGGGGCGAGAGGAGGCCACCGTTCAACAACACACAGAGGAGGCTCAGACATGATGGGAAGATTAATTTAACCAATTGAAACAGCAGGGGGAATTCAGGTAGGTGGAATTTAATTACTGGATTTGGAAGAGAAGATGTGTGTCTCCAGAGCTGTCAAGAACACTTAAAAAATAAAATCATAATCATCAGCTGTTGGTATTCCGGCAACAGCTTAGTGCTGGGCCACGGTCCTGCAAGGACAGCCCTCAGCTGTCATCCCTGTCCCATGGGGTGTTCCTTGCTGGCTCCATACACGGCCCCAGCACAGCAGGCCTGCCCACACAGGGCAGCCAAAGTGGGAATTACAGTGGTAAAAAAACCCACCTAACACAACTACAGAGTAGGACTCCAGAAAAGAGCTGTCTCACCCAGCTATCCCTGCTCACCTCCTGAAGCTGCTCTTCCGATCTCGCCACTGACAAGTATTACATGAGCTGAGCAAACCTTTGCAGAAGACATTAGAGAATAAATTAAGTATTGGAGCAGATGTGAGTCATTCATGTTAGTGCAAAAACTATAGAACAAACCCCATAAAAACAGGAATCCATGCATAAAGTAACATATGGAATGAAATAGAGATAAGATGTCAAATGCTGGAAAGTCCAATGCACATGTTGTAAACAACCTCCCCTATGCATTTCCCACACACTTCTCCTGGCTTTATTATTTCCTGCAGTTGTTTTCTGTCACTTGCTAATTTATCATTTGCGATCTTCATCCTCTGTCCTCCTCTGATTTATTTCCAGGGCTCAATAAGCCCTTCTCCCTAACATAATCCATGCCTCTCAGGCCCAACATTCACAGAAAGATGCCCAGATAAAAATTTCATTAGCATCCACAAAAAGGGACATTTCTCTTTCTTTGTTTTAAAGCTGTGTGACTTTGAAACACCTTTACCAGAAGGAGGAAATCCAGGTCCATCAGGCAGTGAATTTGAACTTTGCTTTACAGCCAAGCGAGAGAAGAACTAACCAGGTGGGAGGAGGGCAGAAAGCTCTCATGCCCTGGTGAGCCACCAACCTGATGTCACATGGGAAGCCCACACCAACCTGAAAATGCAACCTGTTCCCATGGTGTGCATCGTTTCTCATGCCAATTAACCTTCCTCAGCCCCACATTCAGGGTAGCTGGACCATCACACTTCACCTCTGCCACCAGGAGCCATCTCTGCCCAGCCTAGCTGGGACCTACAGGTGCTGCTCTCTCCCCAAACTGCTGCCTTATGCTTCTTCCTGACAGCCAAGGTAAAACACCTGGGCAGCTTTCAGCAGCTGAGGCACATCAGTGATAGTTTTTATATGGCTTATAGATGTTTTCTTGCCTTCCTGCTGTTGGGACAGACTGGTTTCTACCTTTCACATACCTCCTTTGGATCAGGAATGGCTTTCTGGCCAAAAAGATCGCCTTGCCACATGTAGAAAATAGCCACAAGTATTTTCCTGCCTGGGACAAAGTGACCTTGGCTGCTGGTAAACAGTGTTCCCCCAACACATTTTCAGAGGGTGCTGAGTTTTTCCTACCAGACCTCCCTCTGTACAAGGAGAGTTTTTCCAGATAAAGGCACCTGGAGGGTATTATCATTCAAAGCTGGATTAAAAACCCTGTCTTTTTTGTATGTCAGGCTTTCAGGGGAAGCTATTACAAAATACAGAGGGGAAGTATAGAAAATATCAAGGAAATACATTACAAATTAGATTACAGGTAAGGTAATAAATAGGACATACCTGACAAAAATGCAATCAGATAATGCTTTCTTATTACCTTGAGAAACAACTCCCTCTGCTGAGGGAAAGCTTCACTGGCAGGGCTCGGTGCCGTGATGGATAACTCGCTGTTATCCCAGCAGAGAACGGGCAAAGGGCCGATGCTTCCCTGCTGGCATTGCCACCACGGCAGCCGGGGGGGGGATGCTCTGCAAATCCCAGCTCTGTGCAGCTGTCCCAGGTGGAGGCAGGGGACCCCAGAAGCTCTGGCAATGCGGAATTCTCCAGGAAGTATTTTCCTCCTGACGGTGTGCCTGTGTGCTGGGACAGATAATATGTCAAGCAGATGATGGTAACAGCTATTTAAATAAGAATAAGGCAAGAATACAAATCTGGAGGTTCAGAGTTGAGACTTGTATAAAAAATAATAATAAAAAAAATCTTCTGTTGTACTATTGACCCATATCTTTCCCATTTCTCTAATTTTTTTTATCTGCCAATCTCAGCTGCTTCACAAGAGAGATCCATAACATATTACCTGTTTCCAACACAAGAAAATTTACAGGCAGTATAGCCAGAGACAGAAAAACAATCTAGGAAATGGGTGGCTGGCATTTGTTGGTATCAGCATTGAAAAGCTGATGAAAATGATTGTTTTGTGAAAGGAAAGATAGAACATGATTTCTGAGTGGGAGGGGGACTCTTCACAATCACAGCCTCACACCGTGGCCCTTCAGGTCCTTTGAGGAATGGGTGGAAGGGGAAAGTAGCTTTCCTTGCTGTTTCAATGACATCTGTAAAGCTTATTTCAAGGGAATCAAACCTCACTGGGTCTACAAACCAGCTGGACACTGCTTCAGTGCAGTTTTTACTAGGAGTACTCTGGGGTTTGAGTATCAGTTCACATCTGAGATTCCATTCACAGAATGTTTCTTTTCCAAAAGGATCACAAATGCTTTGCAGTTTTTTTTTTCTCAGAAAGCTGAAAGGGGCTCAAACAGATACAGTCGAGAAGTGATCAGAGGAAAGGATCAAAATCCACCCCCAGCTTGGGGATACTGAGGAGTCTCAGCTGAACATGGGAGGTTATTGTAAGATGGAGAAGCCCCACTGAGCTCTGGATTGAAAGGGGCTTCTAGGACAGAGAGCTCTGGATTGAAAGGGGCTTCTAGGACAGAGAGCTCTGGATTGAAAGGGGCTTCTAGGACAGAGAGCTCCACTGCCAGGGGAGGATCTGGTTCAGGCAGGGGTAGCTTTAACCAGGAGTCTGGTTCAACTTGGTGTAGCCCAGCACTCAGTGCTGTTCATGGCACTGCACCATCCCCATGAAGAAGTGCTGCTTGCAGTAGCACATATATCAGAAAGACTCTGTTTGCAAAAAAATAAGAGAACAGCTTTTGAAAGGGTCAGCATGGTGATAGGTGGTTATACACAGGGGGCTGGATTTCATTCAGTGGTGCCTCTGTGGCTCCTCCAGGCTCAGGGGAAGATGCTCACTCAGAAGTTTCTCTCCCCACCCTGGCAGAGGGTGTGCTGCTGTGCTCCCAAATTGCTGTTTTGGCAGGTGCTGAGCACTGGCCTGCTTCAGCAGGAGCCCAGCTGTCCCTTGTCAGCAGCAGCAGAGGTGCCAGCCTGGGTGCAGAAGCTCCAGGACAACAAGCCAGCACATGCCCTGGCCCAGCAGCACCCCACAGCCCCAGCCTGCTCCCCGAGATGACTCAGAACCATTTGATACCCCTCTGTGGGTGGAGCTGTGCTTCAGATGTGAACAGCCATGTCAGTGACTTCCAGGTTTGTACTTAATACGGGAACAAAGTTCCCTTTTCCGACCTGTAGCTGTTCAAAAGGCTTCTGGGTCCCTTGGTCAGTGTGAGGAGAGGAAGGGCAGAAGTCCTTTGCAGAGCAGCAAGGAGGTTGTTGCTTTGCTGTGGGGGTCCCCAGCTCTGCAGCACTTGACACCACCGTGCTGTGGCCCTGTGGAAAGCTGCTGCAGGGGTGCAAGTGGGTGCTGAGCTGATGGTTCCTACCCACAGCTAAATCTCACACAGCCCTCAGCATTGTGAGGGCAGCCAAGGCTCTCTGCCACCTCAGGCAGTACTCTGCCATCTCAAAAAACAGCTTTCATGATGGCTCTTGAAGATAATGTGAACAGTATTCCACATTTTTTTGTGGCAGGAAAGATCTGCCTTTGTTTTGTGTTGTAACAGAAGCCAAAAAAAAAAAAAAATCAGATCAGTGCTTATATGAAAAATGTTCTCTCTGTGCGCCCTTGGAGAACACCAAAAATGTTAGAGAGAGAGCTCTGGCCTAATACCAGGGGAATTGTAAGTTAAAAGTATTAAAAAACAAAACCAAAACTTTTTATTGGCTGTCTCCTCTCCCTTGCTGAGGTAACAGAATTGTAGCTTGTCCTACATCTGCAGCTTAAATGGGAGGGTCAAACGTGAAGCTGTGAAGCACTCACCTTCTCCTCTCGGGTGATGATATTGCTGTGCACCTCCTCACCTACTGCTGCACTCAGAAAGGGAAATGCAGGAGTTCCTGCAGGTTTTTTGCCACTATCAGTGTTGCAAGCAGAGCTCTTCCAGTACCTCTGAAGGATTTTTTTTTCCTTTTAATTAAACCACGAGCATTCTTCTCCAGCGAACTTTCCACGATGGCATCTCCAGTTAATTAAACGTTTAAGCTGTCAGGAAATGCTATGCATTAAAAAAAAATAAAATAAAGAGGAGAGCAACTTTAATAGCATTTGTTAATTGAAACGCTCATCA